GTCTGCTGGGGTAATAATAGTTGTAAAGCGCATAGAGCAAGCTCTTGAGCATGGATATGCGCTATATAAATGCAATTATTATTATTATTATTACTCCTCTGTCTGTGTGTCTATGTCTGTTCACTCCTACCCGCTGGAATCGCGTAAAATACTGAATACCAGGATATTACACGGTAGAATATTTATTAATGTAATATACATACCTACATGCATGCAGACAGACAGACAAAATACTCACACAAACACACAAATACATGCACACATCCACACGCGGACGGACGGACGGACGGACATATACACACACACACACACACACACATACATACATAAATACATATAATTAGATCTATCTCACTCTATAGTAAAACGTCTTTTCCGCAATCCCCCCCCCCCTCCCATAGCTCCCCATCCTTGATCGAACTTTCTTTTTCTGCTTTGTATGAAATGGGTTTGCCGTTAAAATCTTCGCTGGGGCATTTCTATTATCTTAACATACCGTAGGCAGCTTGAAGCAATCTCTTGGCATTTCACCTTACCGTATTTCATTTGAGACAGATGCAAAATTTAAACGCCCGACTCTTTAACTAACACAGTGCGGAAAGGTGAGTTACACTTTAGCCTAGCTCTCTGGCCCAACCAAGACAGTTCTTGATGTAAACAAAAAGCGAAACAGACACGACAAAAACTCTGTAAACATACACTGTGGAGGTAAATCGTGCCCGTAGATCACCTCATCTCATTACGTTCCCTTCCTGTCTTCCCGTTTCTTCAACCAGTTACAGGTGTCTGTGGTATAGTGTAGCGGTTAAGGGCGCTTTGCTGTTGCATGCAGGAGACCCGAGTTCCATTCTCGAATGCAGAGTGGTTGGCGGGTGCTCTGGTGTGGTTTGCCCCTTCTTTCCTATCAAACATATATCGTCTTTACCCCCCCCCCTCCTTCTTATTTATGTTTGTTACTCTTTTTTGTGATTTTTCTCTCTTGTTACACCTCTAATCTTCGGCACTTATATGACCTTATTGTGTTGCAAGTGCCGTAAAACTCTTCCTAAAACTAAACAGTTCATGTCATCGCGACTAGGGCACCAGCTGGTCTTCATCATCATAATAATCAGATCATTTGTTGCGCGTTTCATTTGGGCGGTGGCCTTCTGATCAGAATGTACGGTAAACTGAAGACAGGTAAACCACCGAGAGAAAGGAAAAGCAGCAAAGATGTCGGCTGAGATATACCCTTCCTATCCTGGACAACCGCCAAATATCCCGTATTTTACACACAAAGCTCGACAAGATAATTCTTCTTGGCCTTCTTCTTTTAAAAAATCTTTTTGTACCTAGTGCCCCCTCAGAGGGAGGTTGGCGGGTGCTCAGGAGTGGATTGCTCCTTCTTCCTTTAAAAAAATCCTTAATCGCACTATCTCTTTTATCTATCGTTTTTTTCCCTCTCTCCTCCTTTTTTTGGGTATGTTACAGTCTAGTGACACCTATGATCTTTATAGGTATCGGTACTTATACGTTCTAATTGTGTTGTAAGTGCTGTAAAACTCTTACAAAAAGATTAACTAAAGCTCACGGATGAAATGTCCCAGGAGAGAGCAAAACAATATAACAATATTGCCTACGAGAAAACTGCTGCTGTGCAAAATTCAAGTCTCTCAAGACTAAGGTGTTTGACTGGCAGCTCGCGTTGGAATCGCGTAAAATCCCCCCCC